GACCCCAAAGGGACCCTTCTGAGCAGCCAGGGTGATTCCCGCATTGCTCCTCCCCGAGGGTCTCCAGCATCCACTCCGGCCCCTTGTGGAATGAGACACCCGTGCAGTGCGGGGCTGGCGTGTAGATATCCCTGCGGTTTGTAAGCCCTGACTATGTGTATCCTGGACAAGCGGTGCAGATGGACAGTAAGTGGGCCCGGAGTGCAGCAAGAGAAGGAGGTCGGGGTGGAGTGCCTTTGGGAGGCTGTGTAGCGTTTTTGTTGATCGCAAACTTCCCCCCAATGCGAAGGCCTGTTTCTTTAACACTGGTATCTTCCTGGAACAAAATGCTTGCAGAAGAATTAAAGCCGCAAACCACCCAAAGAGCAAGGGAAAGACGCATGGTGGGTGTAAGTAGGCTACAGCACGTTACTATCGACGATTTGCATGGAAGAAGAGGCGTCAAGGATATCATGGTTTGGCCATGCAGCTAGACTGAGACAACAGATGGACGGCACGTATTCTCCACTGGTAGCCACGAGACATGGAAGAAAACAAAGGAAGGCCTCCAGAACATTGGGTGGATCCTTTCTGGAGGATTCATGGAAGGCCATGGACGAGAACCGCAAAAACAGGCCGGCGTGGAAAAGTTGCGATCTGCATCAGTGGTGAGCCGATCCGCATCGATGATATCACGGATCTTCCAAGTATTCCCAGCGAGTTCAGTGCTCCTTTGCCGTTTGCATGGCCCCTGTGAAATCGTTCTTTGCCCAGGGAAGTAACGACTCCATGTGAGTCACAGTATCAGAATCCTCCCCCCCATATGCGTGTGTTTTCCATTTTTCTGACTGTAGGCAGACCTGGTGGCCTCCTGTCTAGTTAAAGTTGCCCACCCCTTCCCACTCCAAAACCTCCTTTTCAGTGGCTTGTAACTCAGCCCAACTTTAACTGCTCCAGCTGTGAGTTTTCGGGCAGAACTCTTTTGAAAAGTTTCAGCAAAAATCGTTCAGCTGTTTCTGAGACTGTGATTTAGGGAAAAACACACGCCCATGTTATAAGGACAAAGGGGTGGTCTTTGTGCCAGGGATGTGCCTGGTGCGGTTTCCATCAAAATAAAAACCACCCATTTAGCCATCTAATGAGACTTCGGAGGGGAAAAACATCTCTGTTTGCACTTTGATCAGTCAGGACGTGGTAGGGCAGGGCTACTCAACTTTGGAAGCCCCGGGGGCCACAATGATACTCACAGCACATGCCAAGAGCCGCAACTTAAGTGTGGTTGCATGTCCATGCAAATATATATGCAAATATATGCAAATAGCCTCTTTCACACTGACGGGCATGAATACAAAGATTCATGGCAAGACCACACAACACGCAGGCCCTATTTAATACATTGTGACATTTACCCCATTTCCACAGCACGTTGAATGAGCAATGACAGTCCAGGAATTTAACTACGAAAACGCATCTCAGCAGAAGACCAGGACATTGACGACTTTTTTGTTTTAGCTCCCACCCGCGGGCCGCAAACGAATGGGCTGGGGGCCGCATGTGGTAGGGTTCGGCAGCTCAAGTCTCGGAAGAGACTCTCTCTACTGGGCATGCTCCAGCCTAGGACTGCAGGGGCTGAGCAGGACTTTCCCGGCAATTGCTGCTCCCGGCTGTGGGGACAGAAATGGGGAGGAGGGAGCCCTTCTCTCCCCTGCACTCACCGCCCACCTGCTGGGGCCCTCGCGTCCCAGAGGGCGAAGCGGCCTGATATACATGCCGAAAGGACAAGAGTCAGACTGGGAGGACGAGACACAAAAGGTCGGGAGAAGGAGATTGGAGCTGGATGGGGAGCTGGCGAAGGGGGAGTAACTAGGGGGCAGAGATCAGGGGAACAGAGCTGGGGGGACTGGGAACCCGTGTGCATGAGGGGAGGGAGAGAGATTGGATGGGGAGCAGAACACTGAACAGCCCAGGTACCAGGGGAGAATGGGACAGGCTGGATAACAAGACTTCGAACTAGGGTGGTTAATGTAGGCAACCGAAGTTGCCAATGAAGCCTGGGATTTGAATTTCCCGGGCTTCATTTGCATCTTGCCGGGCGCCGCCATTTTTAAATCCCCGCTAGTTCGGACTCCGTGCCCGCGGCTACACGCAGCACTGAGTAGGTAGTACGGATTAGGCTTCCTATTCCGAACTACCGTTACTCCTCGTGGAACGTGTAGCCGCGGGCACGGAGTCCGCACTAGCGGGGATTTAAAAATGGCGGCGCCCGGCAAGATGCAAATGAAGCCCGGGAAATTCAAATCCCAGGCTTCATTGGCAACTTCGGTTGCCTACATTAACCACCCTAGTTCGAAGTAGGGTGGTAGTGTAGACATACCCAGAGAGACGGAGCCGAGAGGGGCGACCAGGACTTGGAGGGGAATGGTCAAACAAATGTGACTTAGCAGGGATCTCAAACTGGGCCAGGCCGGAGGAGCCAGGGTGAAAGGGGATGTCCTGGGTGAGAACTGGAGCTGAAGGGTCTCTGCCCACTAGCACACACTCCTCTGTTTCCAGAACATGGAATGGTACCAAAGACTCCTGGATCTTAGCAGCCCTCTGCTGTCAGCAAACAGCTGCGAAAGCCACCACCAAAGCCCCTCTGAAAGCTGGTTCCTAGGTCACGACTACTGCAGAGATCTGTGTGGCGCGTCTCACCGTTCCACCCGGCTGCCTACGGAGGCGAGCCCCGGGACGATGGAACCTCTGCTTTTTCTGAGCTCGCGTCTATCAAACGCCAGGAAATTGCGCACCAAAAACTCCTTGAAAAGAACGTTAAGGTGGCGACGTCAAGAGCTCGAAGGTTAGGAAATGAATCCTTCCGAGACACAACCAGGCCAAATCCATTGCTGGGGTGACTTCAGCGGAGCGACGAGCTGGAGACAAGTTTGGCCCCCGCATGATAACGCGGAGAATCTCTGGAGTCTGGAGGCCAAGAGAAATGGCACCCTTGGACTTTAGGCCCTGCTGAGTGACTGAGAGCCGCCATGCAGATGGGGGTTAGCAAGCAAGCAGCCTAAGCACCTTCCAGTCCTTAATTCATACGGCACTTTGTAGACTGCTTGCTAATTGCTAGAACTCCTGTGTCAGCCGGGGAGGGGGGAGAGGGGAGTTCCTCGGCCCAGTATGGAGACTTGTCAGAGTCTCCCCGCTTAAGTATTTAGCACTGATGCGTTTTATAAGTTATTAAAGCCGCACAGCCTCGCCTCCCGTTCTAAATAGGGAGGTGGCTTTGCCAAGGGAGCAGCCCTGCATTCTGCGTCTCCTGCATCTTCCCACCGGGGGTTTTACCGCACGGGGCGTGAAAAGGGATAGAGGTGCCCTGGGAACAGCCTGTGAGGGGGAGGGGTACGTTGGGGTACATGGGACAGGCCTGGGGAGGTTTGGGGCAGGAGGGGGGGACGCCAGGGCGTGTGTGGGGAGGAGGGGTGTCGGAAGATTCTGCCCAAGTTCCCGGGCTCCGGATTGAGGGCTGTGTCCTTGGGGAGGGCTGCCGAGGGGAACATCTGCATTAGGCCTGGTTCAGAACGGCTCTGTCTTGCCCACGCCCCTTGCTCTCCCTCAGGGCTCCCCAGCTCCCTCGCTGTGGCCTCTGACTCCCTCGCCGCTCCCCCAAGGCGGAGGGGTCCCTGTTGCCCTGTGGCACCCCCTTTGGTGCTCCCCTGGGGAACAGAGCTTGCTCTCTCCATGGGAGGCTCTTTATAGCCCCGGGCCCTTCCCTTGGGGCAGCAGCTCTCTCAGAGGGAGGTGCGGGAATGAAGTGCTCCCTTCACAGCACTGCGAAGGGCCAGAGCTGGGAATTAAGCCTGTGTTCCCAGGGGAGCACTCTAACCACTAGGCAAGCTTTCCTTCTGCATGGAAGCCTAGGACACATCGTGGAGCAGTTAAGTTCCATCCAGCAGGGGTCAGAGATGCACACGCTTCTCCCCCCCGCACGCCCTCCACCGGGTCACAAAGCTCAAAGCTTCAGCTCTCCAGAGAAATAAGATGGACGGGGCGACAAGCTGGCCTACCAGCCCTTCCCCCCGGGGTTTTTTCACAATGGTTGCAGCCCTGCTGGGCCTGCTGAGTCAAAGAGCAGAGCGTGTTACGCGAGTGGCGCACCTGGCCAGGGAGAAAGCCCAGGACAAAAGAGCGAGTGTCGGCCTTCCTCAGCAACCAGGCCAACACAAAGCCACAAGGGCACCCTGGAAAACCCACCCCCCTTGATCTCCTTTTAGCACTGAGCTCAGGGAACTGCACAGGGCTCTGCCTGCTGCTTCACGCAGCGCACAGCCAACCTGTGGAACTCCTTGCCGGAGGATGCTGTGAAGACCAGGACTTTAACTGGCTTCAAAAAAGAGCTAGATACATTCATGGAGGTTAGGTCCATCGATGGCCATGAGCCAGAAGGGTGGGGATGCTGTCCTGAGCCTCTGTTTGTCAGATGCTGGGAATGGGCGACAGCAGAGGGACCACTCCCGCTGGGGCGGCTGGCACTGGCCCCTGTGGGCAGACAGGACACTGGGCTAGAGGGACCTTGGGTCTGACCCAGTGTGGCCGTTCGTATGTTGTGACTGGCTCGCTGCCCGAAACGCCTGGCTCTTTCTAGAACACTTTAAGACACTCAGGGCTGGAGTCCCCGCTTGCTTACCCCGGTGTACGCCAGGGAGTAGAGGGGTGGCTCGGAGGGAAAAGCGGCAGGAGGGAAAGACACAGGCCCGGGTTTATCGCCCCCACTGGGATGGGACTCAACTTGGGACAACTCCGGGCATCACAGCCAGGGGCAACTCATACAACTGGCCATGGCTCACCCCTGGTACCTCCAAGGGGGCATTTCCCACCTGCCAGGCCACCTCTAGAGCAGCCGAGGAAGACAGAGTGCTCAGTGCCTGGCCAGGCACCGACCTCCCACGCCACAGACACATCATAACCAGGCTCCTCATTTTCGTGGAAGGACAGGGTTCTGGGAGGGCTGGGGGGGAGAGGGAGAGGGGTTAACTTACCCAGCTGGCTGTGCCTCTGCGCGTACACCATCACCACCACGGCGAGCACCACGCAGCAGCCCGACGGGACGGGGTTGCCCATCTGTGGAAGCAAACGAGAGGGATGGGTCATGGTGCGCGGCTGACGGGCAAGAGTGCACCACCCTCCGAGAAACTCCCCCCCGCCCAGCTGCTGGCGCCAACGCCACGGGCCGGCAACTGCCTCGGGGGCTGGGTGGCGGGTGGCACTGCCCTGCGGCATGACGTCACGGCCTTGGGGTGCTTCAACAGCCCGGGACACTTCCCGCTAGCGCCGGGGTGTGAGCTCTGTGCCTGGGATGCAGTTCCACGCAGAGCCCAAAGCGGCCCTCTGTCACTCTGGGGGCCTTGCTACGGGCTTCTCTGGGACCAGCGGTGGAGTCGCTGAGCGCCGAACTGAGCACTTGGAAACACCCCTGGCACATTCACAGACTCACAGAATCCAGGAACTGGAAGGGACCTCGAGAGTCATCGAGTCCAGTCCCCGGCCCTAACCGCAGGACCAAGCACCAGCTAGATCATCCCTGACAGGTGTCTGTCCAACCTGCTCTTAAACATCTCCAGAGATGGAGATTCCACAACCTCCCCAGACAATTTATTCCAGTGTTTAACCATCCTGACCATAGGAAACTTTTCCAAATGTCCAACCTCAACCCCCCTTGCTGCAGTTTAAGCCCATTGCTTCTTGTCCTGTCTTCAGAGGCCAAGGAGAACAATTTTTTTCCCTCCTCCTTGTGACACCGTTTTAGACACTTGAAAATCGCTGTCATATCCCCTCTCAGTCTTCTCCTTTCTAAACTAAACAAGCCCAATTCTTTTGGTCTTCCCTCCTAGCTCATGTTTTCTAGACTTTTCATCATTTGTGTTGCTCTTCTCTGGACCTTCTCATGGGTATGTTATTTTTCCCATCCCCTTCTAGAATCTTAGAACCACAGAATACTAGGACTGGAAGGGACCTTGAGAGGTCATCGAGTCCAGTCCCCTGCCCTCATGGCAGGACCCAATTCTGTGTAGACCATCCCTGAGAGACATTTATCTAACCTGCTCTTAAATATCTCCAGAGATGGGGATTCCACAACCTCCCTGGGCAATTTATTCCAGTGTTTAACCGCCTTGACAGGTAGGAACTTTTTCCTAATGTCCAACCTAAACCTCCCTCGCTGCAGTTTAAGCCCCTTTCTTCTTGTTCTATCCTCAGAGACCAGGAAGAACAAGTTTTCTCCCTCCTCCTTGTGACACCGTTTTAGACACTTGAAAATCGCTGTCATATCCCCTCTCAGTCTTCTCCTTTCTAAACTAAACAAGCCCAATTCTTTTGGTCTTCCCTCCTAGCTCATGTTTTCTAGACTTTTCATCATTTGTGTTGCTCTTCTCTGGACCTTTAGCTCTTCTAAACAGCAACACTCCCCCCAAACAACTCCTGTGGGCAAAGCTGTAACAAGGGTGGGGCACTCGCCCCAGGAACAGTACATTTAGGGGAGCACAATTAAAAATTAGAAAGTTAAAATATTCTTTCTCTTTACTATAATCTATTTGCAATCTCAATATATGTGCAATTAAGAACATGTGCAATGAAAACAATACATACAAAAAATTAAGAATTTTATCATTTTTGTGGGGCGGGGAGGAGAGGGTAGCCAGCCCCAGGTGCAGAAAACCTTAGTTTAGGCTCTGCCTGTGGGTAGTGCTGCTGTGCACTGGTAAGCGGCTGCAGTGCTCCGCACCAGAGGTAGAGGCCTCGGAATAGTGCGGCAATCAGACATCAGAACATCTGTGATCCCCCCCCATCAGACTTGCCGCCTGTGCAGACGCTGGCGCTGTTTTTATGGCGTGGGCGCTACTGACGGCCTCACCCACAGAACCCCTCGTTTTAGTGCCACTGGTGGCAGGGCAGAGGACGATGTCTGCCAGCGCCTGTCCATCCCATCAGGAGCAGGGTTAGCCCTCGTTACGTGGCCTGTCCTACCGCCGCTTCGGGCTTCACAGCACGGCGCAGCGGACATGGGGATCCTGTCTAGGGAACTCCGTGTGAATGGACTCATTCCAGATTGACACCAAAGGGAGGGGAAACCACACCCATATAACAGGGGCGGGGGGAATGGTGTAGGGGGACAGCGAGGGTTAAACGAAAGGAGCTAATCAAAAGCAGAAAGGGTTGAAGACACCGGTATCCCGGTTACAGCCACGTTAGACAGGCCTCGTGCGTTGTCCCGTCTAGTCCCCCCAGACCCCATAGCAGGTCTCTCTCTGCCCCACGCCCGTGCCAGCTCCCAGCTCAGAGCCAGGGCTGGGTCCGGCCAGGTAAGACAGCACAAACAGGGCAACATGGTCCATGGGCTCCTTGGCCATCGGGCCTCCATCTAAACTCAGACGCTGGGGTGGCCGTATGGGCCCACGCAGCAAAACGCAGCCCACCTAAAACGCTCCCCTGCCCTCGGCAAGACCGGCGCAACGAGAAGGGGGGACTCTAGGGCGGGCGGTGGTGACGGAGGGGCTGGGAATGGGCGCAGAGCTGGCCCCTCCCAAAACCTTCCCCTGCCGTTTAAACCCACTTGCGGCTC